GGTAACTTGTAGAGGTGATGGTACGATCACCAAGTAACACTGAGGATAGGTTGAAATATTAATTATTGAACTTCACTGTTGGTAACTTGTAGGGATGATGGTGCTATTACCAAGTAACACTGAGGATAGGTTGAAATATTAATTATTGAACTTCACAGTTGGTAACTTGTAGGGTGATGGTACTATCACCAAGTAACACTGAGGATAGTTTGAAATATTAATTATTGAACTTCGCAGTTGGTAACTTGTAGGGTGATGGTACTATCACCAAGTAACACTGAGGATAGTTTGAAATATTAATTATTGAACTTCGCTGTTGGTAACTTGTAGGGATGATGGTACTATCACCAAGTAACACTGAGGATAGTTTGAAATATTAGTTATTGAACTTCGCTATTTATTATTTTATCACAGAGTGGTTCTACCTTGTCAGAAGCATTCAGTGACAAACCTATTGTTTGTATATACATGTACGCTAAATATACATTTAGCAGCATGAAAGTTAATTAAATCCAGTGTAATTTTAACACTACTACTCTTGAAGCTATCTATGTTAGAAACCTAATTTTAATATAGTGTGATTTTTGTTTTTGGAAATTTATATAAAATTTCTAATTATAGTCTATACTTAACATATACATGCCATTTACAAGAAGTTTAAGTAACAGTAACTAACTCTAATTTTGTTACTGTAACCACTAATTGATCTATATTTCATTGCTTTGATGCACATTTTTTATTTACACACTTTAGTTCTACTTTTCTTAAAGTTCTTACTTGTATGAAAATAACTTCCTGAGAAAGGCTTAAGAGTGTAAATTACCATAAATGTTTTTCTTTGTCTACTGTCTTTTTGGCTGGTTACATTTGGACACTAGTATAAATCACTAACTGATGCAATAGACCAGTGATGGATGAAAACATTTCATCTCAGAAGCAGTATTTAGGATGTGCTTTAAGTTTCATATATAAATGGTAGCCAGAATACTTTTAACTTTGTTTCAATAACTTTAGTATAGAAATGAAAGGAATTAGAAACAACAGATCTTGTCCTGGATGTAGTACATATGTGCAGGAATGTTAATTATGAAATTCATAAACCATGTTTTGATTTTTAAACAATATTCTATAATATTTGAAGATTAAGTGTTATTGACAAGTTAATTTGCAAGAAAATTTTATTTCGCATTGTAATGATAAATGGCAAGGAGCAAACAAATCATGTTTTTATAAAATACTAATACAAATTTCAGCTTACTTAATATCATGGATTAGTTGTGTTTTATTGATCCTATAGTTCTGATTCAGATTGCTTAAAATCTTGAAAAATGCTGGTTAATCAAAGACAAACAGTCAACTGAAACTTTGTACACTGACTTGTTTGTAATGCTCATAGACATAGTTCACTTTTTAAAAAAATACATGTATTATATTATTTTTAAGGATTAATGCAGTTTCAAATGGTCAAGTTAGAGGTGATTCATATTCAACAGGTTGTATTGGACAACAAGGTAAGTAATACAGTTTTTCTTAAATCTATGTAGACAACATACCCAGATATTAGTTTTTTTGAATGATTTATATTTGAAACCTAAAATTAATTTAGGAAAAGTTATTGTTTTATTAGCTAAGTTTATTATTGTAATAGCAGGGCTAGAAGTTCAATATAATTTAAGTGCACTAGAATAACTATTTAAAATTTTTGAAATTAAAAAAAATACTATTAGTTTCAACCAAAGCTGCAAGAAACTTGAACTAAATAGGCGTGTTTTGTCCATATTTGTTTATACTAGTATTGTTTACGTATAGTACACCTGCACACAAATATCAAAATGTGACAGTTATCTGTTTCTATCAATAGGCAGTTTTCTAGCTAATTGGGATATATTGTAACTTAGAAATAATGGCTGTTTTTTCTTTGCAATTTTGTAATATGCTTAATGTTGTTTTTAAAATACAACACAGATTGAGGAAGATTAATTTCCAGTCCCTTTTATTTAACTACATGGAAATAAAACTCGGCTGTTGTGTCTTACATTCCATGATCCTCATGCTTCGCTTCATTAATTCCAATAATTTGATAATCAACGAGATTCTTTAACTTTTTACATTCTGAGAATTATGAAACATTTGTACTTTCCATGTTAGCATGTGTATCATATTGATTTTACATTTCACTGTTTGTACTAATGTTGATAAGTAATATGACAATATATTATATCATTGTACCATGCCTGAAGTTTGAAAAAATATTTCTCTCTTATTTAAGGTGCAAGAGTTTGGCTTTTCTTAGGATTTGTCTTGGGATTTGGATCACTGATTGCAGCTAGCTGGATTCTCTTTGGTGCTTATGTCATTCCAAGTAAGAACAATTAAATGTTCTGTATATTTTAGCTTTTGGTCCCTATACATGAATACAGAAACACTAGTGAATATACATGTCAAGTTCATTAAAAGTAAGTTGAGCAAAAAATTACTTTCAATAGCAACAAAAGTTATTTTTCACTACAGAGTTTTTAACAACATTTAGTTATCAGCTATGATCAAATGATGATAAAACATGGTGCAGGTACATTGAATATCTTCTGTGACATGTGAGTGAGTATTATTATTGAACTATCAGACCCACAAAACATTTTTGTTCAAATTAGTATCTTTATTGCAACAATACTTCTTTAAACACGGGATTTCTAGAATAATACAAATGAATTTAAGTACAGACATCGAGACCTGTAAATCCACTTGTCTTAGGCCTAACATTAGTTAAGCCTTTATTGACAGTACTTAATACTATTAGTGATTAAACTTATAATGTTTTGACCTAATGTTAGACCTTCTTAAACACTTTGATAAACTTTTAATATGTTCTTGTACAAAATGTCATCTAACATATATTTACATCCATTGAAATGAAGTGTGCATGTATATGTATTCAGGTAGTAAGGTGAGCATGCATTTTCAGGACAGAAAAAACTGAGTATTGTTATAATTGATTATTTGGGTACTAAATTATTACTTTCAAATAAGGCAGACTTAGCTTTAAAACTGAAAGCCTGTCTTTGTTGAATTTGAACACATGCTATCAACAGAACACGTATCCATGTTTCCTTTACATATTGCAAAGCTTACGTTACTTATCCATATTTCTCCACTTTTCCCACCTTCCATATGACTTATAGCACATTTGTTGGGGGATCTTACATAAGTTCTGCCTTAATTTAGATTTTATTGCTGGCAGTGAAGCTGTTACTTTTGCTACAACTTTTTTTCTGATGAAAATATTTCATCTATTAATTCTATACCCCACTGGAGGCCTTACTTACACACTTTGTCTGTAGCATACAAGTTCAAATCATTGATGGATTCTCGACATTGATCATTTGACATGTTCCTGTTATTGTATCTTGATGATTCTAGTGGGTATAATAATTGTGTGAACACTTAATTTGCATAAAACTCACCATTTTCTTCTTTTTTTTTTGTCATGTTAGTCATTTTTGCTCAGGTTTAATTGCTTTTAGTGTCTGCAGAAGGTTTATGTTTGCTATAGTGCTAGCCCTAAACCTGATGATGCTTCTGCTGGTTTCATTTCTTTTTCTCTCAGATATGTTCTATATTTTCATTATTTACCCTATTTCGGTTACGTCTAATGGTGCTTGTGTCGTGTGAAATGACTGTCATACTTGAATCTCTTTATTTTTCCCACCTTATAATGATGTTGAGGTTGTGGATAGTTTAGAAACTAACTCTGTATTCATGGACTTCATATTCCCCTTCTTCTAAAGTATTGACCTTCAGTTGTGCTATTAGAAGTGGGAAGGTTTTCCACTTGTTTTTTTATTTTAACCCATCCTCAGTTTTTTGCCCTGAATGCTATGGTTTGGCTTTTTTGAGGAGTTCATTTTCTACACCATTATTGGTTATTCTTAATCTCCTTCTCATTTTCCTCAGGAATAAATGTCTACTTTAACGTTTTTGTGACCTACGTTTCTCACTGCTGTTGTTTTTATTACCACATGAGGCTTTTGTTGTTTGACAGTTTTGTCTTTTTATGTGTGTGTGTGTATATATATATATACATTTTATAATCTTGTATGTAATGTTTTTCATTACTCATTAAATCTACTTATAGTGTAGCCTAGTTATGACTCACTCATTGACTGTTCTGGACGATTCCTCCATACAAACTTTTTGGAGTCATCTAATAACTTTGTTCATCTATTGTCCCTTTGCTTTGTGTTCCTTGGGTTCATCAAACTCTTCTCTGCAATTTTCTATTCATCATCCACATTTAACTTTTCAGTTTCTGTTTGATTTTGCATTTGGCAGTTTCGAACCTTTTCCATGACATTCTATTTTTGGTCTGGGCTTCCACACACACACTCAGTATCGATTGTCATTATTAAATGGATGATTAATGGATTTTTGGTCAATGGCTGCTTCACACTGAGTTTATCTCCCAGTTCTTCTTCTCTGGGAGGAATTGTTCACAAGCCCAAGTCTCAGCTTCTGCAATTTTGTATTAACACTCATGAACTCCTCACAGATCTTTTTTGGCTGTGCAATCCCTCGAGTTTTGGGTGCACATATTTCTTCATCTGCCGAACACATAGCTGATTTCAGAATGATGGCTTTTCTTTACATAACATATCCAATGGAATGTCCTTACTTCAGAGTTTTGGGTGCACATATTTCTTCATCT